AACTACGCAGGCAGACGCGTACGTCAACCACGCACACCAAACACAAGCGCACAGCGTAAATTCACAAACCTAATTAAACTAAAGCAATACCGTGTCAAGAAGACTGTTTCACCCTCGACTCCCACATGTTGACGTCAAGCCTCTTCTTTTCGCTCCAGACGCAACACGATCAGTCACAGGGAAACACAAACACAACAAACAAAAGAACGAAGAAAGACACAGTGTTCCCTCTGTCGGTCTGTCTTATGTCAAGTTATGTGACACAGCAGCTCTTGTTCATAAAATGAACTTCTGACACCAGTCCTTCGAGCCGATGTCTCAACTGGTAAACTCGATTCCAGGTTTCCAGTTAACAAACCTCAAGTTCTTCAAATAAAGGTTTGAAACTATTCCAGCTGCTACAAGTCTACAAAACTCAATTTCACTAGATGAATTCAAAAACATCGAAACACTTCCAAGAGTTCTCAAATCAAACTGGTTCTCATCCAAACGTGAATAACCAGCTCATTAGTCAGCTTGCTGACTAACTTCACAAGAACGAAGTGATTCACACAAGGTATCTGTACAACCTTCTTCTGGATACAAAACATAGTCCGAACATAACATTCCTTCTCCAAATCAGCTTTCCACATAGAGATAGCATCTCACAGCTTCAAATCTCAATGTAGAATAGAATGTTCTGTTCGACATTGTCAATGTAGGTCAGCCAAATACAGTTGTATCGCTGAAGTCTTTCGACCACTGTAATAGCCAATCCACAATGCAGACCAAAGTCATCTCAAAAACAATGTCGTCCTCATAGAGATAACCAAAGTCTTCTCAGGAACGATAAAATGCACACCATAAGATCAAGTGTATGATCCATAGGTCACGATGACGATGATGTAGGTATTGTCCTCACAATACCGAAACATCTCATCACAAAACTCTCAGACAAATAAGATGAGCCAATGTGGCCATTGTCCTCACAATGCCAATGCATCTCAAGGTCCAAGACTCAAAGTATAGTAGGCTCTCTCCATCAGATATTTCCAGCTAGCTTAAACTCTTCTGCAAGAGTTTCTAGCTGTGTTCTCATCACTTGGAGAGAATAAACTTCTCAGTGTCGAAGACACAATAAATAATGTCAATGTCCAACCAATGTAGGTATCTTCAGTTCAAGCAATAAGCTGTACCAGATTCAGGTAGAATCCAGAATAAGATGTAGGACTGCTCAATACACCACATTCAGGTCAACACTGATCAATGACATCTCAGGATGTCAGAAAATGATAAGTCCAAAGACCAATAGAATATTGTGATACAGATTCCTTCCGCAACAAGTAGAGTGTTCTCTACCATTCGCGTCATGTGTAAGCGATGAACTCTTGTAGTAGCCTTCCACGTATCTTCTGTGCATAAAACTATACAACCATGATGAATGGCATGTCGCTTCACCCTTACCCAAAGGGTGCTCCCACAGGGTGTCAAATTTCCATAGTTCTGCAGGTTATTTTACAACTTGGCGCCTCTGACTGTGCACGTTTAAATTGCTTTACAGTTGCGGCCGCAGTCCGGTAGTTGCAATGTTTTACTGACTTTGCATGTGACAGGATTGTTCTCCCCTTCGACCTTGCACGGTGTTCATGCCCAGTAACGAACTTGGTTCGTGGCGTCCTTGCCACTGCCACGGAGCTGCTCCCCGCAAGGGCGACACAGTGGCTTTTCACCACTGTGTCTATGACAAATCCTTCGTCGTTGTTTTTGTTGGGTCCTGCCCCATTTGCTGTTCTGCTTTGTTTCTCTGCTGGATGGCGAAGCGCTATCTGGCTGGGGGATCTGCGTTTCGCCTTTTGTGGTTTTTTGTTGTGGTTGTTTGTGCTGTTGATTTGCTATTCTACATGAGCACAGTGTCAATGTAGATGTTATTTTAAACTGCTTCTTCACTGTAAGAACCGAGCCTCAGAGCGTGATCGGCCGTACCAGAGAAAAAAAAGTGGGATTCGTTGAGCATCTAAGAGTTGGTAACTGTTGGTAAGTTGAAGGAGAAGGTTCTCATTCCAGCCTAAGCTCCCCAAAGCTCCCTAAGCCACCTTCCCTTTGGATCCCCGCCCTTAAGAATCCCAAAAAGGTGGTGCGTGTCAAGATTGTGATCCGTTGCAGGAACAGGACCCGTGGACGAACTGGACAGGCAACATGCGGAAGGCCGACAGCCTTCGAAACCTACTTGGGTCAGCGTCCAGGACGTCGTCCTTAACTCACTAAGACCGTCCACGCAACCAAGTCAACTACTCCCAGAGCTCAGCCACTTTTACACACACAAGCAACAAGGAGAAATGTCTTGCTCATGTCGCTATGGTTCTTGTTGGTGTGTCACGCCTTGACACAAAATGATGCGGAGTCGCTAGTCAGCATCTTTCTGCTAACTTTCACAAAAGCGATCAAAACCACATGTCCTCACAAAAAGTCTTTACATCAAGACATGGTTTGTTTGTTTAAATAAGTTTGAGTGTTTGAAAAACGTTGAAACATTAAGAGCACCAAAACATGATTCATGATGTCTCCCTCAGATCTGTTAGCAACTCCAGTTCTGAATGCCTTTCAGAACGTTGCTCTCGCTATCATCATTGAGAGACAAAACAAACTACACTTCTCCGATCAATGTCAAACAAAGTTCCTTCTTCCGAAGTCACAAAATGAATTCATTCTAGGATCTTCTCACGATTCCTTCGTGTACTTCGTCGACGACAACTAATGCAAAAGGTATGGAAAATAGTTTGATTTTCCATGTCACTATACAAATTCAAATCCTCACGATGTTCTCCGTGCAATCAAAGTACTCAAAGAAGACGAAAAATATATCGTTGTTGGGTTTCGTCATCTCCAATAAAACGTGCAAAACATGAAACGTGCAAATACGATGTCAACCATCACGGTTGAGCTCATCATCAAGATGAAAAACCAAATTCACTTCTTCCAATGCAGAAAAGACCAATGGATTCATCTCACAGATGTCGGAAATTTTCACACCCCCTTTTGAGATGAACTCCATTCCATAGGTATACGCTGTAACCCATCCAGACTTCAGCACATATCGCCCAAGCTCGATAGGTCAATACATATAGTACGAATTGTCCCGTTGTCCACCATCCAATGAACAACCAGCTCATAGTCTTTCCTCGCCTTTGCACCAATGAGGATACTCTCAATCACCCAGCTGCCTCTGCACTGAAGTTCCAGTGAAGCAACCCTTTGGCTTTCCAACCTTTCCAGAGTCCTCCACAACCTTGCATGCGCAGAGAAAAGAATACCAATCCTTTGCAATTGGACTCGTACTCCTGTTTCCCAGGTGACACATACTCCATTTGCAATATCCGGCCATCTCATCATCGACATATACCTCACGGTAGGTTTTGCCTTCATTGGCAAACTTTCCAAACGCAAACTTCGTTCTGCTCCAATCTCGAAAACTCATACCTTCAGGCACCAAATCAGCAGTAAGCTGATCAAGGACCTTGTCGGCGATCCCAGGAAAGATTGGGATAGGCATCACAGGCAACTGCGCACTCAAAGGTTCAGCTGCCGAAGAAATCACATCGAATTCATCATCATCCAGAGCCTCACGAAGTCGCTTGCTTCCATCTGTCATTGCTCCTTGACTCTCCATAGGAGTCAAAATACTGGATCCGGCTGTATAGCCTGACCCTGAATTCTCACTGTGCCACTTCTTCTGAAGAAGACCAAGCAAAGCCTTCTCATCTGCATCTGTCCATCCAGACTTGGCCATGGCTACGAACCAAACTGCGTCCGGTAGTGAAAAAGTATTAGACCGTGGCTAAACTCTTAGGAGCAATCAACCTAGAACGTGAAACGAAGTGTCGAACCGCCATCACAATCGTGATAGGATCAGTAACCTTTCAGATTGTTCTGCGCTGCGCACACCACATCTTACAGCATCGCGCAACAAAACTCTGCACAAGATGGAACATAGTGAAAACTCCTGTCTGTCTTTGGCAACGTTTGTTTAAAACCAACGTGCAAACAGAAAATGAAACGAAATGAAATGTGACGTCAACTTCTGTCTCTCTCTCTCTCACAATCACAGTCACAGTCACAGGGCCCCCTTTCAAACGCAAATTCAACTCTTCTTCTTCGAAGCATGTTTGACCGCAATCAAAATGTATCTTGCCAACTTTCGGTTGTAAAACGCTGTTTCAGTATAGTTGATTTGATAAAGTTCTGCATGAGTCTGACATGTGCATGTAGAAAGTTTGGAGTGTTATTTCCACATGGAACGCTTGTTCCAGTTTCTTGTCTATTAACAATTCGACGCGCATGGATTCTTCAATTTAATTAAAAAAAATTAAACGTGATCGAAAACACGCAGCACACTGTCGGACTTGATTTAAATTTCCTTTTTCCGCATTGGGGTATTATTCACGAGTAAGACACCCGCTAGCCAGGCTTAGGGCTAGGCAAGGTAAAACCCACTCAAAGAGGGGAAGGAAGAAATTGGAGACAGAGAAGAAAACCCACTCGACAGAGGGGAAAGGAACACTCCCCTTCGACAGAAGGGGGGGAAGACACAGGGTGGAGAGGGAGGGTAAACGCGGTCCATTGGACCAAAACTGGAAGGAACCCACCGCCCACCGCTTGAGGTGTAAAATGAGGAATGAGATGAAATGAAAACTTAACTATTCAGAGAAACAACCAAACAGACAGTTTGAGAAAAAAGAAACTGACAAAAAACTGCAACACGCTTTCACCAAAAAGTTCCAGTTTGCAAATGGCAACTTTTGGTTCTTCCATGTTTGAAATAAGGTGCTTATCACTTCGTGAGTAAACACTTATTTCCACATGGAACGCTTGTTCCAGTTTCTTGTCTATTAAAAATTCGACGCGCATGGATTCTTCAATTTAATAAAAAAATTAAACGTGATCGAAAACACGCAGCACACTGTCGGACTTGATTTAAATTTCCTTTTTCCGCATTGGGGTATTATTCACGAGTAAGACACCCGCTAGCCACCCCACATCAAAGTGTCTGCTCCTTCCTTTCGATCAGAAGCAAGACCTGATCCCAGCTTGGCTTAACCAAAGCGGAATCAACGTCCAACAGTTGCTGGATTTCGAAACGACTGGGCTTGTCAGCAGGGTTTGAGTACGAAGGCACTCTTCCAAACCAAACCTTCAAGCTGTGCTCGGATTCAAGCTGTGCAAAACAAGTGGTGAGAACATTGCCGAACAAAACGCTGGAGTGGGTTTTCATCAAAGCGCTCTTTGCAGCCTCTTTGTCTATGTAAAACACCACGTAGGAATTTGGGATGGCCGGGGCCCATACATGTGCAGCAACCAGCACTGCCAGAAGTTCAACTTCAAAAATAGGGTGGCTGGAATGCTGGAGGAACATGTCCAAGATCAGCTGGGGAACCCGTTCGCTGAAGAAGGCCTCGGCCTCGCCATTATTGTTGTATAAGATGCCTCCCACGGAAGCCACAACTTGCGACCCATCTGCTGTAGGTTCAACCGCACCATCAGTGAAAATGTAGTAGGTTTTTCCGGCTGACTTGGTCAGTTCCACTGGCTTTGAAATGGAGACGTGCTCTTTGAGAAACTGCAAGGCTCGCTGGAGCTGCGGGTCCAAGCTTCCAACCAAAGAGCAAGAGGTGGCTCTCTTGCTAATCACGCTCATGGAATAGTTTGCAATCCTCCCAAACAGAAAGGTGTCATACCACTGCAGACGACCTCTGAGTCTTTCCGCATCCTTTGGTTTTAAACAATTTTGGTCAAGGTGTGATTCGATTTGGGCCAGAAGCTCTTGCCTTCGGCTGTCGGTATGTCCAATGCGGACCTTTCCAACTGAGAAATCAGTCAAATCAATGAGCAAACCCAATGCCTTGAAGGTTTGCTCGAAGGAGCCAGCTTTGTCACCATCTCGGGCGAAATCAATGCCCAAGAGATCGAACAACAAGTGCACTTGAGCTTTGCATTGGGCCGCCATCGAGGAGGTGGATAAGGTAGGGAAATCATCGAAAAAACTTGACCACCAAAATCCTAGGCATACCTGTCCAATGCAGGCTAAGGCCGCTGATATGCGGAGGAAGCCTGCCACACTCCCTGAGGCTCCGAAGGGGAGCGCACTGATCTTGTACACTTTGGCCACACCTTGTTCTACATCCTTCACACAAATGCGAACTCTTTCACGATCTTCGGGGTGGATTGCATATTGCTTGTAGGCCGCCACTAAATCAAATGTGGTGCCGCACAAAGTTTCGCCCGCGGGCAACCCCACTGATAACGCTCGGACCAAAGTGGCCGCAATGGCGTCGATGGAGTGCAGCACGTATTTTTCTGGAAGGCCTGTTGATCCATTGACTCCACATTGCTTGATGTCGTCGATGACTCGTACCTTCGTTTTCTGAACCAGGCCAAATCGCCTAGCAACTACAAGCTTGTCCAGGTCTGGATTTTTGTCCTCGACCAACCACCCTTTCCCTATCTCATTGATTGTGCCTTCCCAGGCGCCAACAGATGCGTCAGTAGCTTCTTCGGAGTTCACGGACTTGAAAATGCTCCTGCTGATGCCCTTCGAGAGACGCAGAAGTGCATCCACTGAGTATTGGGGTGGCTTTGATCTATGAGGAAAAAGCATCGAGTCACGCAACCAACCTGTGATGCGGAAACCCGCGCAAATGTCCTTGACCAGGTGTCGATCAGGGAAACCGATGTCATTCAGGATCTCTTCAAGCACCAGAAGTCTCTTGCCCTGGAGGACCCTTGCCACTTCCGGGTCTAAAGCATCGTGCAAGTCTTTCTCTTTGCTGGCCAACTCACTTGCTCTTGTGAGCCATTTTCGGAAAAAAGCATTCCTTCGATCCAAAAGTTTTCCACGGTCTAAAGACAAGTTCTCCAACACGAAAGGGTCACGTGCTGACCAATCTTCTGCAAACAAGTTCCTGGGATGGCCCGCTGCTACTGCACGAGCTACGAAATCTTCCGGTTCCCTTGGAACACCTATGGAAAGAATCTCACCCACTTTCTGAAGTGCTGTGAAATCGCCAGCAAAACCATTTATGTAAATGCAGTTGCTCTTCTGAGAGCTGCACTCATCCTTCATCATACTGTCGCAAACCCGAAAGTCACCCCCATGCATGAGTTTGCGGTTCACTATCCGCGCCCCTTTGGGGAAAGTTTTCAAAAGTTTGTCTAAATCTTCAGCAGGAAAATGGGGAGGCACCAACCATTGGCTGTAAAATTGAAATTCACTGACCAAAGGGAGCAACTTCCTCCCTCTTGGCAAGAGTCCCATTAAAATGGAATTTGTTGCAGTGGATCTTTGATGATGAATCTGTTGCTCCAAAGTCTGCAGTTTGGTGAAATTGCATTGCTGCAGCGCTTGATCCACAAGGTTTGCCACTCGTTCGCATAAAATTTCGGGATATGCCGCTTCCTCAGCCGTCGGGAAATTGAAGCGTTTGTTGGCTTTGTCAAAAACAGGTGTCCAATTTTTATGCTGGTGGTCTCTGCTACACCTCAGCGCCAATGGAGAAAAAAATTTCTTGTTGCACCACCACAAGGTTGCTTTGTCTCTTTGCCCTCCCATCATGCAACTGTCGAACACGACTCGAAAACCTTCCCATGATGCGAAGAGCTCGACCATTGGCTTTGTCAGCCAGAAAAGGGAGTTTAAAGGATTTTCAATTGAAACTAAAATACCGTACAAAACGCAGAATTGAACAATGACAGCGGTAGCTCGATATAGCGCATTGGCTTTTTCCACCTTCAGCAAATTGAGTCCAGTGAGCCCCGGTAAGCCGTCAGGAAATTCTTTTGAACGAAGGGGCACAGGCTGCATCTCTTGAGGGCAACCTGGAACGGGAATTCCTCTGGCTGCTGAAGCTGTGCCGCAGGGTGGCGCCAAATGAATATACACCAGCACGTTGAGTTCAGCTTTTAAGAAATCCAGCAAAAATTGTAGATCCTCATCTTTCGTGAGGTCCAAAACGGTGATAAGACCTGTGGACCTTTTGGTGGTGTGATCCACAGATGAAACTCGAAAATCTCGTTTGGCGAAAGCTCGGCTTAACCGTGCTGTCCCTGCAAAAATCTCGACAAATAGCAGGTCTTTCCACTCTGTGCCTTTATCGAGATTTGGAAAAGGTTCCGCACTTTGCCCTGTTGTTTCGTGCGAGCCCTCATCCTGTTGGCGAGGGCTTTCCAACTCCTCTTGTTGAAGTTGCTCATCACCTAGTCAGTTACCCCCGCGTTGACGGCATGACAAAAAGGTGTGTCCACCTTTCCGGCAAAATGCACAGATGTGGATTCCTTTTGAACATCTCACTGGGTTGCCATAGGTCTTGGCTGAACACCCGTCTTTCATGTTGAAGGCCCAACAAATGGGTTTGTTGTCACTTGTCTTTGAATGACCTCCCTTCAACTCGTCCGGCATCTTTACCTCCGTGGTTGTTCGAGCCCTTTTGCCCGGCCTAACTTTTGCCTTTGGTTTGCCAGCGTCTGGTTTGCTGGCGTTGGAGGCCTCTACAGAATGCGCCTTTGTAGGCAATGGCAACAAGTGCATGGTCACCCTTGGGTCTGTCTTCAGCCTTGTAATATGTTCATCCAGTGGTCGGTTTCCCACACCATCAGGCTGGATGGATTCCACTTCCCTTGCTAAGATTGTAAACAACTCCTTGTCGGCTCGCAACAACTGAGGCATGGTCACCTTCGCAAATGAAGGTGGTGGCTCTGCAGAGTAAGCTTGAAACATTGCCGCTACCCAACTCTCATGCTTGTCCCAAGAAATCAAAGCTGCTTGGTCAAATGCCAATCCGCGTCTTTGGAAACACCACATGAGTTTCAATTCAGTGCCATGGTCAGCTTCAAAAGTTTCAGTGTCTGCGGCCATTTTCAACGTCATGTTCTCAATCTTCAGCACTTGAGATTTTTCCTTCAAAGTTTGCTGTACCTCTTGTTCACGTTTGGTGCATTGCGATGGGTGGATCCATAGTAGCGACCCTGTCTCCCTCATGCTGGCGCACTTGTCCACCAAGGCATAGCTGGGTTCCATTTCACCTGACAAAGTAACGCCAGTTAATCTGGTCTGCTGGTCCTTCGCCCTGGCCTGCTTTTCAGCTGGCGGCAGCTTTCGAATCCCATCGGTCAAATCGCCTGCCACATTGCTCTTCAAGGTCGCGAAAACTATTGTGCAAGCCTCGAAGTGCAACCTCCTCAGCTGAGACAATTGGCCCAGTGTGGGTGGAACCCCAAAAACTCCTGCGGCAAAAGCTCCAAAGGCAGCATCATCTGGTTGTGACTGTGGCGTCCCGCATGCAAAGGCCAAACCGCTGAATGTCTTCAAACCTGAATTGTCCAGCGTCTGAAAAAGAACTTCATCACCGATCTCTATGACCCTCTTTTTGAAGGCCGCTTCAGAATCAAGCAATGACATGGCTTTCAAGGGTTCCCGCACCTACTTAAACACAAATCTACATGCCAGGCATGCGAAAGTGAAATTGTTGACATGCGTAACTGTCAGTTTAAATTGACACAACTTGTAATGATTTCAGTGTGGGAAGAAGAGCATTCACCCAACACGGCAAAAACCACTGGAGAAACCACGTGGTACCTGCATGTAATGCCACTGGAAAAGGCTGCGTTGCTTGAACCCAGTGTGGGACATTGAAATCACCCAACACGGACGGCTCACTGGTTGCACCACGTGGCTCAGCAACTGAATGGATACAATTGCACCATACTGAGTGCAATGGACGTTTTTTCGAGAAAAACAAATTCATGCATGGTCAAGAAATTGGATTGACTTGGCAAGAAATAAATTGGGCGGCCGCTGAAATCCTGAAAAAACTTTTATCCACTCCTGGCCAAACCTGCCGACTGCTTCAGGCAGTTTGAACAAACTGAGGAGTCCCACCTGGTCTGAAAGTCCCTGGTGTACGCGTCGGTCACTTTGCGACCACATTCAAGGATTCTGACACGGTGATCCTGAATTATATGTAAAGTCTTTGACTTACTGTGCTGCAAAAAATGATACCCTTCAGGTGGCGTTGGAGGCAAAAACAAACGAGGTGGTGCAGGCGGTTCACTTGACTGTTCACTCTCATCTGAGGATGAATCCGTTGTCACATGCTCTGACTGGACATCAGAAACTTGGCGTTCAGACGCACTTGATGCCACGGATATGCATTCCCAGCCTGCCTCATCTGACTGCTGTTTCACCTGCTCGAGCTCACCTGACAGGTCAGCGGGCTGTGCACATAGAGAAAGGTTCACTGCGGCATCCACTGAACTGTCCTTCACAAGTCTTCCAGCTCTTGACTCATCTGGAAAAAACTTTTTGCTCCTGATCTCGTCCAAAAGTTCTTCCATCATGCGCATTGGCCTAGCTTCTGCATCTCGGGCATACACATCAGCCATGCGTCCCTGATGAGCATGGTGTCCTAAAACCAAACGCTCCTCATGTGGAAGTCCACGCTTTGCTGCATAGCTAAGGATGGTGCACTTGCATGAATGTGATGTGATCCTAATTTCATTATGCGATGCGACTGGGTTCATCTGTAAAAGGAGTCTCAACCAAGAGCCACACTCGTCTGTTCCAAGAGGTCGCACTGTTGGTTTTCCTTCCACTGAAGGTGCAGGCATAGGGGGATGTACCTCCTGTATCCCTACCGATGCCCTGGCGTCCATCCAGCAACCGATCCAGTCAGAATCAACAACTCCATGCGCAGGTGCACACAACTCCAAAAACCGAAAGCGAAATGCAGAAGCATGCATGGTTTTGTGTGTTGAAACTTTGCAGGAAATGTACCTAATGTCATCCCCAACGAATTCCAACTTAAGCTCCGAGCCATGTTGAAAGTCCATCCAACGACTGCGTGAGTATACACAGAACAGTACAGCCCCTGCAAAAACTCGGTCCCAGACGTCGGCTGATTCTCGCACCAATCTGTGAAGCTCTGTCAATTGCAAGACAGTTAATGGAGCAGCTTGACAAGCTGCATCTGTCGGTAAACCTCTGGCAACTCCTAGACATCTCCTACTGCTCACACATTCTTGAAGCTTGGAAATGTTGAAAACAAATCTGCAAAAAGTGACAGCTTCGACAATGCCCTTGATGCGGCTGGGTTTGCAACCAGCCCTGCGAAGGTCGCACAATGCCTGATACAGTTGCAGTTCAGAACATGGAAACTCATGAAGCTTGACATGTTGAAAAAGGATTCCCAGACTGTTGACTCGCTTGTACAATGTTGCAGGTGCTTTTGTACCCATGTAGTCCCGAAGCAACGTCAGACCATCTGCAATGGTTGGGCACCTACGTAGTTCCTGTACCACCTTCTCCATGGGGTCCCAAGACATGATGCATGTGAGCCAACGTTTCAACCCTGTCTGTAACTCTGAGTCCCTTTTGTCCATCCAAGTCTCTTCAGGATGTTTCACAACTGCACGTGCAAAGTTTGATGTCAACACAGCTGGAGGTGACAGTTTGATCTTCTTCTGAACTGAGTGCTCTGCCACAGGTCCCGGCAAAATTGGACGATAGATGCTACCCATGCTGAGGTCATCCATGTAGTCAAAATTCTGTTGAAAAATGGGTCCCCAAGCACGTGTCTCCCAAGGCAGCAATACCGGTTTTGACTCCAAGGTTTTAAAGCAAGAATCCACTGCTCCTGCAAAGTCCAAATTGTCAAAAACATCTCGCCCAAAAGTTGTTTGAATAAAACCAGGTTTGGCAGATTCATGGAAAACAGCATCTCCAACTGGTGAATCGTCTACATCGAAACTGTGCCCTCCAAACAGCTCAAATGCCGTTTCCGCCACACTTGCAGTGTCAGAGGGCTCTGCCATAGCTCACCCCCCAGCTAAACGCGGTCCATTGGACCAAAACTGGAAGGAACCCACCGCCCACCGCTTGAGGTGTAAAATGAGGAATGAGATGAAATGAAAACTGAACTATTCAGAGAAACAACCAAACAGACAGTTTGAGAAAAAAGAAACTGACAAAAAACTGCAACACGCTTTCACCAAAAAGTTCCAGTTTGCAAATGGCAACTTTTGGTTTTTCCATGTTTGAAATAAGGTGCTTATCACTTCGTGAGTAAACACAAGATTTAGTGCAAACCAAGCTGAATTGGAAACAAACTTCAATGTCTTTCCAATCGGAATACCATCCTTGTTCTGACATCCAGTCTTGCACAACCTCACCAAAGCCTCATGCCTCATGTCAAAACTCTGCAAAAGATTCACTGTCTCAGGTCGGGACCAAATGGTATTTCGTTCTGGAAGCTCAAACGAACATGAGTCTGCATGTTTGAAGTAACCACCAATCGCGTTGATGATCTCATCCCATTCCTGATCCTTTTCAGTGACTGAGTCCGGATTGAAATTGCGAAGCGGACTTCCACTTCCACAAGGAGTCGATGCATGAATATGCACCCAAGGTGGACATGACGAATTCTTCCACTGTCGAATGCAAACAGCTACACGACTCAACGTTCCAGAACTCTGCACCTTAGCAACTACACCAATGTATGGGACCTTTGAAACTTCACAGACCCTTCTCAAGTTCGAATGTTCCGAACAACACAGTTCCACAATCGCAATTGAAGAACCCTGAGTCAACACTTGCTGCAACACACTCAGCTCACGAAGTTCTGCCAACTCAGCTGTCAAACCATCTGGAACCACAATCCCAAGAGCATATCGATGTTTATAGAAAGCTTTAGCACTCAAGCATTTAGTGAAAAGATCTGCTGGATTTTCAACACCACTTCTGTGTCTCAATTTCAACAAACCCTCTCTCATCTGCTCTCGTAACCAATGCAGTCTTATTTCAATATGTCGTGAACGTCGTGGCACGTCCATGGATCTCACAAGTTGCAATGCGGAGCTTGAATCGCTCTCCAACCAAATCACAACTTCTTCTGGCTCATCGATCTCATGAAGTGCAAAAAGAAGACGGTGAACCAGTCTTCCAAACGCAACACTTTCTTGACACACTGATTGCAAACCATAGAGCTCTGCCTCACATGAACTCAAGCTCAAAGCTTGCTGTTGTCGGCTCAGAGACCTTACCAAAGACCTCTCAAAGAAAACAGCTCCACCGCTAACACCTTTGCGGTTGTTGAAACGGTACGGCGCATGTGAAGCGTCGCTGAAAGAGTGAAGATGGACTGATCTCAGTTGAGTATCGTCAACTTGACTCATGATGGTCTCATCTCTGCTCGGTAAACACAAGCATGCATGCATGTCAACATACAAGAATCTCAAGACTGCTTTCAATGCTTGTTCAGTTCCGTGCATCGGTTTCGCTTGCTGTGTCCCAAGAACAGACATCCATGTCTTCAAGTCATGACGCACCTGTGACAACCAAAGCAATTTTCCCAACGCCTTTCTGAAGCGTGAGTATGCTTCATCTGACAAAGGTTTCTGAAAGTTGCTATCCGTGAGTGTTTTCTCCAGATGTCCCGAAATGTCAGGAACATTCTCAGACCCACGAGTAACACCATAATCCAGAAACGTAGAGTCAAGATAATGTGGATCAACACCCAGAGTGATCTCAGAGGAATCTCTTTCTCTCTTGATAACACGACCAATAAAGGTCAGGGATCCTCCCTCTTCTCCGATCTCTCCAGTTGTCTTCACAGGCACTACAGACGACAAAGTTGCAACCACATGTTCCTCGGCTTCTTTAGTGGTCGACAACAACAAGATGTCATCAACATACACAACACACAAACAAAACCCAATCTCATGACCATCTTTCACAATCTGTCCACCATACACACATGGTTCCAACGAATCTGACCAAAGGCCTACATGTTCAACCGTAAATGTCAACAGCTGCAACCATGCCAGTGAAGCATCACGTAACCCGTTCAATGCCTTTTCAAGCAGATACTAGGTTGCTTCACCTGATGGAAAACTAATCGACAACGGCATTTTCAAGACAACATGTACACCAGTTCCCAATGGGCTATGCATGAAGGCATGACTCACGTCCAATGCACGCAAAAGCATCTTCCGTGTCGCTGCCATTGCAAGCACCAAATGAACACTTTCAATCGAAGGAGTCGGACTGCTAAATCCCAAAGATCTAGCTGAGGAGCCACGATTGAAGTCCTTCGCAACAATCCTGGTTCGAACCCTCTCACTGCTTTTGTAAGCTGCAACCCACCTCGACTGGATCAAACGAAGGTTCGGAACAGCCTTCTTCATGTCGTCCAGTTCTGACTGGGTGATGATGCGGCCAGTCTTGCAGTGTTCCAAGTTCCTAACCTCCTCTTGCATACCTTTGAAACCTTGTTCCAAATCAAGCTCTTGCAAACTCTGGTCATCTATGATGCTGTCCGGTTTCCAAACCAAGACATCCTGACCTCCAAGACGCATCTTCACAAAATCATGCTCATTGCCTCGATTGAAACAAACAGAATCAAG